AGTGTTTGTCCCAGGGTATCATTGCCCCAGGCCTCCCATTCCTACAGGGTTGCATGCAAGAGGTGGCTGCATTTCAGTCACTCTGCACAGATCTATAGATTACTCACACGTGCACTTTATAAGATGGGACACTAGGAAGAAGTGACCCGATCAGACACGAGGTCCACCTAATCCTGTACATTCCCCCCAGATGTTTCAGAAGAATCTGTATAATCTCCATAACACAGAACCATCCAATAACTCTTGCAAAGAAGACAGATTCTTCCTATTCCCAGCCCCAGCGGGTTAATATGTTTCATGCATTTTTAGCATGTAGCTGTTTTTAAAAAATTAATTTAGGCCCCGATTCCTCCCAGTACTCAAGTAAGCAAATAACTTGCATTGAAATCAACAAGACACGCACATGCTTAAAACTAGGCTGAATCAAGGCCATAAACAACGAACCCCTTTTTGACCTCTTTCCCTCTGACATCCACTGGCCATGAGTTCCACAGGTTAATTACACATGAGGCAGGGAAATAGCCTTTAACAGCTCGCAACGTGTTTGCCTTCTGATTTGGTCAGGTCCTTGTGTTAGGAGGGAAGGCAAATAAGAGTGCCTGACTGACCTTCTCTAAACCATTCATGATTTTATATTTGTCTATCATGTCATCCCTTATTCATTGCCCGTCTAAGCTAAATAGTCCTTTCCCGTCCCGCAGCGTGAGAGCTGCAAAGTGCAAATTATTATTATTTCAGTGAGAAAGCAGCTGAGCTCTCAACACACCCACTCCGTGGCTGGGTATTCACCCCATTCCTACACATCCCTCCTCCCGGGAAATCTGCTTGCAAAGGACAAAAGCCTGGAGCAATTCCCCATGAATGCGGTGCTATAAACAAGACATTGATCCCTGTTTCTCTCATTGTAAAATATTAAAGATGTTTAAATGGATAAAAACGCCAGCCTCCAATCGTCTCCAAGCAAGTCTGCATTAGCAGCTGCAGCAGCCAATTGGTTTAATGGATGGGGCTTGGAGCCTCTCCCCCCAGAATCTTGCCTGCCGTGACTGCCTGCCAATTTGGGGTTCGGGTTCTTTTTTCCGCTGAGACCGAAAGCTTGACTTAGAAACTTTGTCAGAGGCTGGTATTGGGGGAGGTTCGTTTGCAGCTGTCAGAACAGCATGGGAGATGCAACCAGTAACATACAGGAGAGCGCAGAGGGCTGATTCTCACTTATGCTAAGCTTGCCTGACAGCAGGTAGCTTCTGGAAACACCGCTGTGCAGGGGGGCTTCCTGTCTGGTGTTACGGGCTCCCCACCTGCCCTGCTCCCAGTCCCCAGTGTGGCCAGAATGCCCCAACAGAAGGGCCCTGAGAAGCAGAATGCAAGTTAGAGCAGCATTGTGACTGCTCTAAATTATGCTGGAAGCCAGGCAGGGCTCTGAAGAGCCTTGAAACATGGGAAGACCAAAGGTGGCTTAAAGGCACCATCCCCCATCTCCTACTTCCCTGCCCCAAGCACAGGAAGGGAGTAAGAGAGAACCAGACCCATGAGCTCCGGGCTAGGGCACCAGGAAGCATATTGCTCAGAGACGCAGTGGTAATTGCTGTCCCATGGCTGCAAGGCCATCAGACTTAAGGCTTCCCGTGTGGGGATGGGTCGTTTGGGTGCCAAAGCCCCTCAGGGACATAGGTTTAGCAAGACGCATGCTGCAGCCAGGACTCATGCAGCAGTGTGGTTGAGGCCAAGCAATGCTCTTTGCAATGAGGGAATGTTTGCTCATGCCGGGAGGCTGCTCCTCCCCATTGCCCACCAGCCAAGCGCCGACTTCAAGCAGGGGGGGAGTGGCACTCCCAGTGCACAAGCTAGATGGGGCTGGGGGTGGGGAGGATCCCTTTCCTTGGGATCTCTCACCTCCCTTGCCATTCAGTTCCCCTCTGCCAGTGGCTGCAGAGGAAATGCAGGTGAAGAACAGCAGAACCTAGATGCAACGTACCCTCCTCTCTGGCAACGTACCCTCCTCTCCAGCAGGCAGAGCCGGGGCTGTGGGAGGAGGCCAGCAGGATTAGCTGGAGAATGATGTGGGGGGAGGGGGGCATGGCATAGGTCTGCAGAAAGGGGAAGGGGGCCAGGGTCTGGGATACAGAGGGTAGCTGGAATGAAGCCGTCTGCAAAATAATCCTCCCTGGATCCCTTCCAAAGGCAGCTGCCGAGAGCCTTACAGAGGGGCCGGGGGGTGGGCAGGGGAAAGCTGAGCCCCAGAGGTGGCTGGGAGGAGTGGGGAGAGCGCTCTGGCGTGGGGCTGGGGAGGCGGATAAAGAACCGCGAGGGCCAGAAGCCCCGGGGAGGGAAGCGAGAGAGACGGGGAGGGCAGGGGCAGAGAGCACGAGCCCAGCGCCTAGGCCCTGTGGGAACCGGTGCTCTGCGGGCTCGGCCGCTAGACCAGCCCGTGGTGGGAGTGCTTTGGCGGTTTCGTTAGGAAGCGTGGGAAGGGGGAAAAGCCACGGTGGAGAGACGGACTCTCACATTCACTCCTCCACGCTATCCCACGCCACAAGCTGCTGCCAAAGCCCCCTGCTGCGGCGCTCGCAGCCTCTGGCCCTCCCTCTAACCGGCGGGACAGACCCCACGGGAACTCTTCGCAGTTTCCCTGCCGGACGCTCCCCGCCCCATCCCGAGCGCCCCATGACCCAGGAAACTTCCCCGGCTGCATCTACACTGCAAAGAGAAATCCGCGGCTCAGAGCCCAGGGCAGGTGACTCAGGCTGTGGGGCCAAAAGGAGCCGTGGTCCCTCCGGCTGGAGCTCCGGCTCTGAAACGTAGCCAGGAGAGGGTCCCAGAGCCCAGGCTCCGGCCCGAGTGGGAACCCCACAGTGCTCGTTTTGGCCCTCCCACCCGAGTCCATTGAGCTGGGCTCTGCACCTCGGTGGCTTTTCTTTGTAGTGTAGACGCACCTATGGCTTAAAGCTCAGGTTAGAAACGCCCAGTGCCAGATTCTCAGTGGCCATTCACATCGGTTGAGAATCTGGCCCTGAGCCCCCTTCGCCTTGTCTACCTGCTAGGCAATGGGAAACCTCCCACTCTTGCTACAGAAGGAACGCCAGCAGAGAAGCAGGTTCTGGGATCACAGGTTCAAAGCCAGGCAGTGTCCTCTTCTTCCTTCCCTGGGGGGATAAATGGCCCCCAGCTGCCAGGGTGAGGCTTTCAGTGGAGACCACAAGGAAACCTGTGTGCCTGCTGGCTGTGTGTGGATGCTCAATACCTCCCCATACCTCTCCTAAGAGTTGGGGTTTACTCCAGTGGCCTTGGCCAAAATCCCCCTAGCCTGCTGCATCTCTCGTTCCCTGGCTGCTGCCCTCCAGCCCAGAAGCGGCTGCATTTCAGCAGTATTATCGAGAGAGAGACTGCATAGAATCATAGAATCATAGAATATCAGGGCTGGAAGGGACCTCAGGAGGTCATCCAGTCCAACCCCCTGCTCAAAGCAGGACCAAGCCCCAATTAAATCATCCCAGCCAGGGCTTTGTCAAAGCACCTTGGGAGAAGGAGTCAGAAAAACGCAAGGTGATCCAGCAGATAGAGCACTAGACTGGGACTCAGGAGATCTAGTTCTAGTCCCAACTTGGGCTCTGGCCTGCGGGGTGACCTGTGGGCAAGTCACTGCATTTCCCTGTGCTTCTTCACCCCTCCCCCATCTGATCTATTTAGACCGTAACCTCCTTGAGGCAGAGACCATCTATCACTGTGTGTTCAGCGCCTAGCACAATGGGACCCGATCGCTAACCACTGCCGTAACGCACATAGAAAAGATGATTCACTTTCTACTTTAGGCACTATGCTGGGTTCTCAAGACCCTGGACTCCTTTTCCTTTACGTTCCGACTCCCAGTACCAAGGGGGAAGGTGTCAACAAATGTAATAAAAGCCCTCCACACTGACCTCCTGGCTTTTGCGTTGAGTTGGAGGACCAGGTCTGGCTCAGCCTGTGTGCGCGCCAAAGGCACGTGGGTGTGGAATGGGGGCTGACAGAGCCCTGGGCTGCTAATAAGCTACCGCTCCTGTCTCCCCCTTTATGGCTGCGCTGGCTGGGGCCCTGCTAAATAAGGAAAACCTCCATCCACTATTCCTCCAGCCCTTGGATTCTCTAGCACCTGGTCCTCTCCACACTGGTCGAGGGGAGGGGTGAGTCCAGGATGGAACCACCGCTCGAGCCCTTTCTCAGCCCCAGTCCTGGATGCATCATGCACGTGACCTCCCACCTGCGAGGATAAGGGGAGGTTTGCAAGGATGTTACAGCTGGGACTGCTCCCCACCCCCAGCTGAACAGCGTTGCAGCAGGTCCCAGATTTGCTTACATCAGCCTCGCTTAAGACTCCTCCACCCAGAACTCCACTCCCCAAGGAATCCCTCCCCTTCACTCTTCAGAGAAGCCAAGATGCTGGATTTTGCCTGATCCCGGACTCAGCTCACTCAGTCTGCCACAGCCTGGAAAAGCCGGAGGGAATCTCCGAGGTGAAGTGGGGATTCTCAGGAGCCCTCCTCCCCTCCCCCCACTTTAACACTGAAGAGCCCCCGGCAATCAAGCGTCCATCTGCTCATCGCCATGTGAGAAGCTGGAGATGGGGCTGCGGGGAAGGATGTGCTCTGATGGATAGGCCATTAAAAAGCTTGGCGGTTCAGTCTGGATGAGCCGTGAAGGACTCAAATGATTAGCTGAACCGTATCCAAAAATTTTCTCATTCTCTCCCTCCGCACCTGCCCTTCTCCCATTCACCTTCCTCCTCACCTAACAGACTTCTCTGGATCCCTTCCCCAAACAGGGGACCCCAGCCCCCCCGTACCTCTGCGAGAGCTCCGCAGGAAATTCTCTTCCCCTCTCCTCTAACAGCCCTTAGGGATCCTGGCATTGCGGCTCCAGCCAGGTGCAATGACTAGCAACTTGGCCACTGCTGGGGATCCAGCCCAGGACCCACAGAACGAAGAACACCAGCTGAACAGGAACTGACTCCCCGAGCTAATCACGGTAGCAGGCTCTTGTCCTCAGCGGCTTGGGCACAGAGGGGGTTGACACATGACACACAATGAGCGGTGGGCACAACCCCTTCCTGGCACCCACGGTTCCCTGAAACGAACCCGGGTTACAGCCGAGTGCAGCAGGGGAATAGGACACGCTGCAGAACTTGTCGGACCTTGGAGACAGTCTAGGGAAAGCTAAGAGAGGAGATACCACTGAGTCAGCGTGTGCAGTGCCGGGTTTACAGTGGCTCCATGGAGCCGGGCCCGTGCTCGGAAGGGACCCCGGCCTGCACCACTTGCACTGTGTCCTGAAACCCCGCTGGCTCCCCCCGCCCACTGCTTGCTCCTCTTGGCCTGCCCGCTGGTTGGCCGAGGGCTCCTCTCCCACCCCGGCCCCACCCCCTGATCCTCTCTGCCCCCCGGCCGGACCCCAGTGCACCCCAGCTCCAGGCAGTCTCTGCTTCCCACCATCTGTGGGGCCCGCCTGTCTCCCGGAGCTGAGCCACCTGGGACTGGGGCAGAAGCCTGGCCAATCTCAGCCGGGCGGGGAGACAGTGTGGGGGGCTTGGCTGGACCCCTCCAGGCAAGGTGTCTTGAGGGAGCCCGGCCGGGGCAGGCTCTGGCCTGGCTAATCACACCACTCCCGAGGAGCGATTCCCGGCCCCGGGACCAGCCCTGGCTGCGCTGCCGGCTCACCCCGGCAGACACAGTCGCCTCCCAGCAGGGCTGGTGAGTGCGGCCGGGAGGCAGGGCCGGGGAGTGGGTCTGTGGGAGGTCTGGGGGGTGCTGGGCTGTGAAGGGGCGGGGTGGATCTGTGTGTGTTGGGGCACAAGGGAGTGGGGGTTCTGTGGGGGGTGCTGGGCAGTTGTGGTGGGGCTGTGGGCAGGGGTGGTGTTGTGCACGGCGCTGTGCATTTGTGTGGGGGGATCTGGGGGAGGCGCTGGCCATAGTGGGTCCAGGGGGGCTCTGGGCATAGGGAGTGATGAGGTGTTGGGGGGGGCTGTGTGGCGTGGGCTCACCCCAGAAGGGAAGGGGCATGCTGGTGGCACAGGGACAGGCCGGCCACTGTGCATCTGGCAACAACCAGTTCGTAAATAGTGCCCTCGCACTGGGCTGGGCGGAGCGGGGCTTCCCCTGCCATGCCCCATTGCCTCTGGCTGGCCCCTAGCTCTGGGGACTGACCTCCCCACGCCACGCGCCATTGCTCCCACGGGGGCCCACAAACACGTTTGGCAGCGGGCTCACAAAAGGTTCATCCAGCCCTGAACGTGTGATCAGTATCCTCTGCAAAGGGGGGCGACGACGTAGGCCTGGCAGATACGGGCGGATGTCCTGAGTGGATAAGGCCGCGGGGGCTTCCCCTGCAGATGGGACTGTCACGCCGCACATACAGGGCTGTGAGACTTTGGGCATTCCTGTTTGCAACGCGCTTTGAGATCCTCCGAGGAAGGGAGCGTAGGGCAGAAGCAGCATGTGCAAAGGCACATCACAGTGCAGTCTGCATCATCCTCGGAGCACTCTGAATTCTGCCCTGCAGGACAGCCAGGCGTGTGCTGCAGGGGCTGGACTCTGGCTCCCTGGGCTATCGCAGAGGCTGGGTGGGCTGCAGCCGGCGGAGCTGAGAGGACATCGCTCTACAGAGGGGCTAAGCTGGAAGCGTTCATAGGGCCCCCCGTCACGTCTTCCTTGGCCAGAGAAAGGTCACTGCAGCTCCGGGAGCTTGGGGAACAGGGCAGGCAGGCCAGAGGTAGGCAAAAGTGTGGCAGGAGAGAGATTCCCCGCTGCCCTCAACCCCAGTCCCCAGCCCATATATGCTGCTCCAGGAACTTACAGCGGCTGTACGGCACTACAACTAGCCAGGGACAATCGCCCGGGGTAAAAGCAGAGTAAAGTGCCATAATCAGTCCTCTGCCGGTTCTCCCCCAGTCTCTGGCCCAGCAGCCTTGAGAGGGCGTGTCCTTAGCACGTGATGCTGCCGAGATTCTGGGCCCCACAAGCAGCTATAAATTAGAGCCACCCCAAGGCTGCTCTATCTAATCCATGCCAGCACCAAAGTGGCTCCTCCCAACAGCCCTGAATCTGGGTGGCGAAGAAGGGGTTTAATCCTTTGGTTCCCTGCACAGAATGGGAGCCGGCTTCCAAACCCGCGGGCTTTTTTTAGGGATGATTTCCCAAAGTGATTAGCGTAAGAGCCATTTGCGGATGCTTCTCCTAACCTTCAGGCCCTGCTACTGTAGATATTTTTACTCATTCGGAGTGATAGGCTCTAAATTAATGGTGAGCACTCAGGAAAGAGCCTTGGGCTTCATTGTGGACAGCTTAGTGAAGAGCTCCGTAGCAGCAGGGGCAGAGAATAGAAGCAAACAAAGTTTTAGGCGGCCTAAGAAAAGGTAGGGACAATAGAAGGCTGCCCATGTATAAATCAACCAGGGTCAGTAGGGATCACCCTATCTTAAACAGGGCACAACAGAGGAGGCTTAGAGATGGGGGACAACAATTATAAGGGACCTGGAAATAATCTCCACCAAAGAGAGACTGAAAAGACCTAGTCTATTTAGTAGGGAGGAGTCTCATAAGAGAGGATACGGTAGAGGTCTATAAAATAATGATTGGGATAATATTCTGATATAGAACTTTTCAACTGTAGATCTCAAAGCACTTTACAAAGGAGGAAAGCGCTTTTACAGATGGGGAAACTGAGGCACGGAGAGGGGAAGTGACTTGCCTAAGGTCACCCAGCAGAGTTGGGAATAAAACCCAAATATCCCAAGCACCTGTTGAGTGCTCCGCCCAGCAGGCCAAGGGCACACCTCTTTTTCCTCTCTCATAATACAAGAATGGCAGAAGGATATCAAAAGGCCTCAATTTTAACATTGAGAAAAGCAGCGGCTATTTCACACCGTTGCACGGTTAACCTGCGGAACTCACCTCCACAAGAGTTCACACCGGCTAAGAGCTTAGCAAGAATCAAAGAACGAGACTATCCAGCTCGTTCGTAGTGCTTGCAGATGGCAAAGTGCTTGACAAAGGAGGTCAGATACTTCTATACAAAGGATTAGACACGTCTATATGCTAATGAGCTACCCAATGCAGGGAAAGGATATAAACTCTGGTGCATCAGGACATAAGCCCCGAGGTTGTGGTAGGACTCTCCGGCACTCAGCACAATGCGTCCCTGGCCTCTAGGCACTGCCAGGAGACAAATAAAGAGAAGTCAGCTCTTGATTGGTGGGTGCAAGAAGCAACTTCCCTATGTGCAAGTTATTCCACTGATATCCCATTATAAGGTTTCTTCACCATTGGAGACGGGGCACTGGACTGCACCCCCAGGAGAGGATTTACCATGAAACAAACCATGCGGTGGCCCCTGCCCTGGGCAGTGCACCCAGACCTGCTGCCCCCCTCCTCCAAGGGGAGCGCAGAGACATGCCAGCAGCAGAGCCGCAGGGCAAAGGCAGCTCCCTGCCCAGGCTGCCTCCCTCACGCCGCGCCGCTCCCGGAAGCAACTGGCATGTCCCAGCGGCCCCTGCGGGGGTGCCGACTCCACAGCTCCCATTGGCAGGGAACTGTGGCCAATGGGAGCTGCGGGGGCGGCACCTGCAGGCAGTGATGTGCGGAGACCCCCTGACCCACCCCGCCTAGGAGCTGCTACCGGGGGCGGGTGCCAGTCGCTTTGGGAGCTGTGCCACCCGAGGTAAGCGCTGCCCCTTTGCCCCCCTCCTGCACCCCAACCTCCTGCCCCAGCCCAGAGCCTGCACCCAGCACCCAAACTTCCTCCCAGAGCCCGCACCCCTTACCCCCTCCCACACCCCAACCCCAACCTCCTGCCCCAGCCCAGAGCCTGCACCCAGCACCCAAACTTCCTCCCAGAGCCCGCACCCCTTACCCCCTCCTACACCCCAACCCCAACCTCCTGCCCCAGCCCAGAGCCTTCACCCAGCACCCAAACTTCCTCCCAGAGCCCGCACCCCTTACCCCCTCCCACACCCCAACCCCAACCTCCTGCCCCAGCCCAGAGCCTGCACCCAGCACCCAAACTTCCTCCCAGAGCCCGCACCCCTTACCCCCTCCTACACCCCAACCCCAACCTCCTGCCCCAGCCCAGAGCCTGCACCCAGCACCCAAACTTCCTCCCAGACCCTGCACCCTTTACCCCCTCCCACACCCCAACCCCTGCCCCAATCAAGGTACCTCGCTTTGTTTTCATTTACTTCCCATTAGTTATAATATAGGAGGAAGATGAAGAAAAAAGAATTTAAAAACAGCGGGGGGGGGGGGAGATAAGAGAGAATGTTCTTTTTCTTGGCTAGGTCCCCTGGGGACCCCCCCCCGACAATGAAGCTGCGCACAGGGCCCCACTATCTCTAAATCCGCCACTGTGGACCCCGACTCTGACCCACGTTCCTTCTTTCTGCCTGCTATCCATTTCCTCGTCAGGCTACCGAAGGGAGCGTGTGGTGGGAACACGCCTGCCCCTGCCAGGACACAGTCTACGGGGCTCCCTCTTAACGGGCTGGCTCCCCTGTCTTTGTGACACCAGGAATAAAAGCGGGGGGCAGGGGGGACGGATAGCTCAGCGGTTTGAGCATTGGCCTGCTAAACCCAGGGTGGTGAGTTCAATCCTTGAGGGGACCATTTAGGGATCTGGGGCCAAAATTGGGGGATCGGTCCTGCTTTGAGCAGGGGGTTGGACTTAGATGACCTCCTGAGCTCTCTTCCCGCCCTGATCTTCTATGAAAGCGCCAAGCGAGCAGGCGGAGAGCCCCTCCGTGCCCACGGAGGCGGGGAGGGCCCCTGAAAGACATTGGTGGAGCACAAGCCGTGTGGCGCTTTCGACAGCAATGAGCAGCCGACCAGGAGCACGGGGGCGGGGGGAGGACCATGAGGATGGGCCCTTTAATAAAGCAGCTGGGTCCTGTCGCTCCACCCACTTGGGAGGAGCCTTGGAGCTCAGGGGAGGAACCATGAAGGACAGATTTCCAGGGGGCGTGGGGAGAATCTCCCCCCTCCAAACCCTCTCATGGTAAAGGGCCTGAAAGGGAAAGACACCTGGGTCTTCTCTCTCCTCCCCTTGCAGGCTCCTCCTAAAGGGGTGGAGTTACTTGCAAACCCCGCCTCCCCGGTTAAAGGGCCAGTCCTCTTTTAACCCACTTTGTTTTCCTGGTGTCACCTGAAACCAAAAGAGGCAAATGACA